TGTATCATCGCTTATATTATTGTATCTCGCACATCAGATTAATGTATCAGCGCTTATATTATTGGATCCGTTTGAGGGATTTCTGTAATTATAAACTTTTAAGGGATAAATTGTAATTTTGCCTTAAAAGTATGTGATTTCTATAATTTGCCCTTATTATTTTCAACACTATAATTAGGGGTGTCAAAAAATAGCTCAATTATAGATAACCCGTCCAAAATTTTAAGGTTTGGGCTCAAAATAATTTGAATTGGGTTCAATTTCAACTCATTTAAGATTTAATCCATTTTAAGAAAATCCTTAATTAAGTCCAATTTAATCTCCAATTTCAACTCGTTTTAAAACTCTTTATTTGCATTGATATAATATATGTTTCTATATTGAAGGTATGAATTACTATCTATTTTATATCTTTTAGGATTTATCAACCAATTTGTAACTTTATTAAAAAAATAAAATCTTGAGTTGAAATTCAAATTGTGATTATAAAATTTAAATAACATTATATTAAAATTATTGAGATTAAGCGAGTCAAATTGGTGGGTCAAGACCCAACCCGTTTTTAAGCCCATTTGAGCTCAAAGTAAATTTGGGCGGGTTAGGACCCAACCCATTTTTATTTCAACTCCTCTTAATATCTCTAATTTCAACCCCACCCGCCATTTGACACCTCTAACTATAATAATACAGAATACAAATGTGTATAAATATATCTTTAATTTTAAAAAATATTCAAGGCAAACAAAATTTGCAAGGTAAATCTTTTTAGAAAATGTTTGTCTTGAGGTATAACTTGTACCTTGTTTAACTAATGGAAAATCACGTAATAAGGCAAATATGTGATATGTATTTACTAAATCATTACAATTTAAGATAATTATAATTTGTAGCTATTTGTAATGTTTTATAGCAAATTACTCTCCTCTCTCCCTTGCCTCTCTCCTCCCACTGCCCTCTATCTATCTATCTCTCCATCCCAAACAACTGTAATCCAAAAAATATTCCACATAATATGACAATTGTATTTTGTATTATGTGTCAAATATATTTGTATTCTATGTCAATTGTATTTGTGAAAAACTTGATACAATATGCATTCATCCTCTTTGTCAAATATATTATGTATCAATTGCATTCAATCAATTATAGGTGAGAAATTTGTATTTTATATCAATTGTATACAAACAAATATATTTGTATTTTGTATCAACTATATATGTATTCAATATTAATTGTATCTTTGATACAACGAATATAACATGTGTTCATCCTCTCTCTTCCCTCTCTTGATCTAGCTTGGCTCCCTCCTTCTAATATGTAGCTAAGTATAATAGGTTTTTGATATATTTGTATTCATTTCGATACAAATTTGTTGCATCAATTATATAATAGTGATCTAACCTAATATAACGGATACAACATGTAATTAACCTCTCTCGCCTCTCTTCCAGATCTTGCTCGTCTTTCTCCTCCTTCTCCTAGTCTCACTTGCATCTCTCTCCCCCAAACATATAGTTAATTTGTAATTAAGCAAACTGTAACTATAGTTTTCCAATTAAACCCAAACTATATTTCCTTTGGTTTTTTGCTAATTCATTCTGGAAACTATAAAAGCAGGAAAGTTGAATTATTATTAGTTATTAATAGTAATAAAAAAAGAGAAAGGAAGAAGAAAAATGGCGTGGTCTCCATTTTCTTCTTCCTCCACTCCTCTCTGCTCTTCACTCACTACTAATCCAACAAATTCCCTTCGCAAAACCTCTTCTTTATTCCATCATCACTCACTTAACCACAGAAGGGATGAATTTCTACAATACCCAAATACAATTTCGTTCAAGAATCTTAATTTCCGCACCAAAAAGTTTACTTCTTGCTCAAAAACTAAGGCCACTGAATCCGGAGTTGAAGAGAAACCATCACCATCATCATCAGAACTTGACTGTGTAGGAACTGGGCTTGACGTGGAGTGTGTAGTGAACCCTTCTGAGGAATTCCCCAAAGACTCTAATTTACGGTTTCAAGATGAAGGGGTGTCGTCCATGGAGTTGCTCCAGACGATTTTGGAATGGGGTTTGCTAATTTCGCCTTTCTTCTTCTGGGGTACAGCTATGGTAGCAATGAAGGAGGTTTTGCCAAAGACTGGACCTTTTTTCGTTTCATCATTTAGGTTGATTCCCGCTGGGTTAATGTTGGTCGGTTTTGCTGCTTCAAGGGGTAGGAATTACCCTTCTGGATTCAATGCTTGGCTCTCTATTACACTCTTCGCTATAGTTGATGCTACTTGTTTTCAGGTATCTTTCTTGCACTATCTGATCAATACATGTTTTAGCTAAGATAGGTGAATCAGTATTGGACTTGTTTGTGATTGTATCCTAGTTGAATAATTGATTGATTTAGGTGTTTACAGAATAAGCTTGACTGCAAACACTATGTAAACTCAAGAGTGGTGTACAACGACTAGCACTACAATGAAATCTGATAAAGGGGGGAATAGGTAGTTTTAAGAAAATGAGAGTTGCTTTCTCTGTTGGTTTGATTAACTATTATAGAATCAGACTGTTGGCTCCTGATTGCTACTTTGTCACCTATGTTTGTTGGCTTAAGCTTCCAGTTAAGTACATAATTCTTTTCATTTGGGCCAACATTCTTTCTCATCAGATTTATATGGTGGACAGGGATTTCTTGCAGAAGGACTTCAGAGGACATCTGCTGGCTTAGGCAGTGTAAGATGAATTTTACTTTGTCATTGCAATTTGTTGTGTTATGCAGTGTTGAACTTTTTTTCTTGTGAGATTGTAATCAATATTATGAAGAAGAAACACCATGTCCTAAGAAGTTGGAAGTGATTGTGCTGTGCAAAATGTAACTTGCATTTAGCTCTGTAGCATGTAGATCTGATATTGTATACCTTTGGTCTGTATAGAATTCTGAAGCTCCAGCATTCAACCTTTTATATGGGGTGGGTTCAATAAATGATATATGAGATCCACTCCAAATCTGCATTGAGTTTCCGTGAACATCGCTCACCATGTATATTTTCTTTTTGTAACATCTGAATGATATTTCTAAATTCAATAATATATTACTATTATAGACTCTTAGCTTTAGTGGTACAGGTAACCAAGTAGTTACATGGAGTCTAGAGTAAGTGAAGGATCAATTAGCAATTCTCTTAAAACTAATTGGTGCAGCTAAAAGAAAAGGAAGTAATTGATGATATTCAAATGATTAGGGGACCTAATTTTAACAAGATTTCAATGTGATTTCAGGTGATAATAGATTCACAGCCTCTGACGGTGGCTGTGCTTGCAGCTTTGTTATTTGGTGAGTCCATAGGTTCTGTCGGAGCTGCAGGTCTTGTGCTCGGGGTGATAGGCCTTTTACTCCTTGAGGTAATATTATCAGGAAATAACCAATTTCTCTTCTTATTTTCCTGCGAATGGCTAGGATTAGCCTTGTCCTCCCTCTGGAGACCGTGGATGATAATTAACAGAATACTAATCGGTCCATCTTTGGCATGTGTTTGTGCTCTAAATAAGTCAAAAGTAGTGGTGAAGAATATGATACCACAGACAAATTTTAGGTATCAGAAATTTAAAATTTTAAGCAGAGATTTTACCAAATTTATGTCTGTTGGAATTCATGGTAAACAGGAGACTAGGTAGACG